GGACTGGGAGCTGAGACAGAATGTTTTCATTTGTCTTTGTTGTATGTATAACTGGAGTGGAATTACTGGGTCACATGGTAAAGGTTTTATTATTTGAGTACTTACTAACAGAGAAAGTTGCTATACCATTTTATATTCCAGTCAGTATATAAGGGTTCCAATTTTTTCACATCCTTGCTAACAGTTATCTGTCTTATTGATTATAGTTATCTTAAATATGTGAAGTGATTTTGGTTGTGGTTTTGATTTGTTTCTTCCAGATAGCTAATTATGGTCAGCATCTTTTTATGGACTTCATGGCAATTCCTCTATTTCCTTTGAAGAACTATTTAGCTCATTTGCCCATTGAATTTCATAATTGAATTGTAATAATACTTTTTATATTCTAGTATAAGTTTCTTGTTAGATATATGATTTGTTAAATTTTCTCTACATTGCTCTCTTTTTCATTTTTTTGGTAATGTCTGAATGACAAAAAAAATTAATTTTTATGATTTCTATCTTAGGCATGTCAGACTCTTATGAGTCCAAAATTAGTTAGACTTTATGTCACATCCTCATCAATATTTTGATTCTATAAATTAAAGTCCAAATAGGAAAGGGATATGGAAAGATTTTAATTAGTTCCTATTAAGGTGTGCTATAGATGAAGAAGAGTTCATCGGAGAATCCTATCATTCTGCTTTTTACTTCCTGTAGTGGTCTCCCGCCCCTGTGTCTGTGGTTAAAGTTTAGTGTTCTTAATGTGACTATGGACCGATGCATCTCTGATTTCAGTCTGCCTTCTTTCTCACTACTCCCCTTATGTTTCCATCCTCACTGCCACTCCCCGAAATATTGCAGTCTTTAGATTTTCTTTTAATGCATTTACTATTCCACCCCCTTTCCACGTGCTGAATCCCATTTGTCTTTTGGGATCCTCCATGAAACTTTACACTTTCTCACAGTCAGTCATTGTCCCTGCCCCCATGCATCATACAGTCATCACTACTGTCTGCTACAAAGAACTGGACCTCAACTTGAGTTTACAGTCTGCAAGGCTCCTTATTGAAGGCAAAATTTGCAAAATTCATTAAAAAAAGACAGACCAGATTCTCTTGCTCACAACTCGGTCATCATTGACTCCTGGATATTTGCTGAATGAATGATTATTGAAGTTAACTGAAATATCCCAAGGTCAGTGGATTTCTCTGATTCTTACTCATGGCTTTGTTGCCTGTGTTAGAATACCATGAATGTTAGGGTGGTCAGTGATGTGGGCTGTGAAAGAATTCACAAAGAGAAGAAAGTGCAGAGAATAAAGTTTTTATTCACTCTCAAGAGAGGAGAGGGGCTTGGTGTGGAGAGATACATCAGCAGCAAAATGTAGACTATGAACATTAAAATGGCAATAAATTCACAACTATCAACAATTGAAACAAAAAAAAAAACAAACTAAGCAAACAAGCAGAACAGAAACAGAATCATATATGTGGAGATCATTTGGAGGTATATCGGTTGGGAAGGGGAAGGGGGAGACTGAGGGAAAAGGTTGAGGGATTAAGAAGTACAAATTGGTAGGTACAGAATAGACAGGGAGATGTTAGGAACACTATAGGAAATGGTGTAGCCAAAGAACTTATATGCATGACGCATGGACATGAACAGGGGGGGGGAGAATTGCCAGAGGGAATGGGAAGTACCGGGTGGAGGGGGGCAAAGAGGAAAATTGGGACAACTGTAATAGCATAATCAATAAAATATATTAAAATTAGTAAATAAATAAATTTAACCAAGGAGGTAAAAGACCTATACTAAAAAAATTATAGTAAACTGAGGAAAGAAACTAAGGAAGATACAAATAAGTGAAAGCATACACTATGTTCATAGACAGGAAGAACTGACATTAAAATGTCCATACTACCCAAAGCAATATATAGATTCAATGAAATTCTTATTAAAATACCAATGGCATATCTCACAGAACTAGAACAAATATTCAAACAGTGTATATAGAACCACAAAAGACCCCAAACAGACATAGCAATCTTGAGAAAGAGAAACAAAGTTGGAAGACTCATGCTACCAGATATCAAATTATACTAAAAGGCCATACTAATCAAAACAGCATGGTACTGGCATAAAAACAGGCATATAGATCAACAGAACAGAGAGCCCAGAGATAAACCCATTCATTTATGGTCAATTACTATTTGGCAAAGACATAATCGGGTAAAGACAGTCTATTCAACAAGTGGTGTTGGGGAAATTGGACAGATATATGCAAAAAATTAATCTAAACCACCTTTTTACACCATACATAAGAATAAACTCAGAATAGATTGAAGAGAAAAGTAAGTCACAGAACCATATCTAGAAGAAAACATAGGCAGTAAAATCTAAGACATCCATCCAACAATATTTTTCTGATATATATCCTTGGGGAGGGAAACAAAAGAAAAAAATAAACAAATGGACTACATCAAACTAAAAACCTTTGGCACAATAAAAGAAACCACCAACAAAATGAAAAGACAACCATTGAATGGGAGAACATATTCACCAATGATGTATCTGATAAGAAGTTAATATCCAAAATTTATAAAGAACTTATACAACTCAACACCAAAAAAACAAATAATCCATTTAAAAAACTGGCAAAGTACCTGAATAGATACTTATCAAAAAGGACATGCAGATGGCCAAAGACATATGAAAAGATATTCAACATCACTAATCATCAGAGAAATGAAAATGAAAACCACATTGAGATACTACCTCACACTTGTCAGAATAACTATCATCAATAAATCAACAAACAAGCATTGGTGAGGATGTGGAGAAAAGGGAACTGTTGTGTACTTTTGGTTAAAATGCAGATTGGTGAAGCCATTGTGGAAAACATTATGGAGTTTTCTCAAAAAAATAAAAAATAGAACGGATTTATGACCCAGCAATTCCACTCCTGGGAATATAGCTCAACAACCCCCCCCCCCGCCCCTCCACTGCCACAATGCTCATTCTTAAGAATATATGCACCTCTAAGTTTAATGCAGAGTTACTTAAAATAGCCAAGATTTGAAAGCAGCCCAAATGCCCATCAGTAGATGAGGGGATAAAAAAGCTGTGGTATATTTACATAATGGAATACTACTTGGCTGTAAAAATGAGGGAGATCTTACCTTGTATGACAGCATGGATGGACCTGAAGAGTGTTATGCTAAGTGAAATAAGCCAGTTGGAGAAAGAAAAATACCATATGATTTCACTTACATGTGGAATCTAATGAACAAAACGAACTAACAAACGAAATAGAGACAGACTCATAAATATGTAGAACACACTGATAGCTGTCAGAGGGGAGGTGTTTGGGGGTCTGGATGAAAAAAATAAAAGGATTAAGAAAAAAACATACACAGACCAGTTTTGTTATTGCTGGAGGAAAAGGGGGCTGGGGGAAGTGGAAGAGAGCAAAGGAGGGATAAATGGTGGCAGAAAGTGTTCTGACTTTGGGGGGTGAACACACAATGCAGTATGCAGATGAGGTGTTAAAGAGTTGTACACTTGAACTCTGTATGGTTTTATTAACCAATATCACATGAAAAAATTCAATTTTTTAAAAAAGGGAACAGAAAAAGAAAAAAAAGAAATAAACATCGTATACAAACTTCACATTCAAGATACCAGGATCTTTGTATTTGTCTTATTCCAATGTATAGTTTTTAGACTTTAGAAATGTCAACTAGATCACTCTCTAGGCCCAAAGACAATCATGTGCCTTTGTCATGGGGTAATTAAGAAAAACTACCAAACAACTTAGACTGAGATGCAGCATACCAGGCTGGTTTTGTGTAGCTGGCTTCCCAGTTCACACCACATTTTAAGTTGCCCATCTGACCCAGACTGAGCTCTGTAAGAGCTCACTGTGCCTGCCTTGTTCACTGCCGGTTCCCCAGTAACCAGCACACAGAACACTCACAAACTTGAATAAAGTGAATGAGCCTTAGCATGCATTTTGTTTTAGAATTATTTATTCAGAAACAGGTAACAGTATAGTAAAGAAATACATTCAATTGCACTAAAAAATCTATATAAAATTATATAATTTCATTAAAGTGCAATTAAAATACTCAACATGGCACATCTCTCTACTATTTCAAGCCAGTATGCTAGCTTTCTACATTTTTTAAAGACTAGTTTAATTCTCTACTATGTCCAAAGTTTTTCTTCTTTTATTTGCTTTAGACCATATTTAAATTTTAGCATTTCTAAGTATACATATTTTAAGTGTTTACTATAATGACCATGAATTTATTCACCTGCTGACTAAGGGTACTTTGGGGTGGTATGACTGGCTCACAGGACGGTGAGAGGGCTATGATCTCTCTTAACATGGACACAACTATTCAGTCTATAATTTATTAGCTTTTCTAGTAGCTTCTCTACTTGGTTTTCACTGACTTTGTGAGCAACTAACTGGTGAAACCTAGATGCTTTTCAGGTTAAGGACTGTCTATACATTTGTACGTTTGATTTACTATATTGTGGCCTTAACATATTTATCTTATTTCTCTAATCTTCAATTTCTCCAGGTATAAATTGGAAAAACATCATTAATCTTGCAAAAGATGCTGCATATAGTGTGTGTCAGATAGTCGGCATATGACACATATTCTATGATTAATATTTTAGAAACTTAACTACTGCTTATTTGTTCCAGACAAAGTTCTATCCTATTCATTTCCAGGCAGTGTTCCAGCTTGTCAAAATCTTTTAGAATTCTAATTTTATTACCTGTAAATTTGTTATTCTCCTAGGTTTGTTATCTGCAAATTTGGTAAACTTTTCAAAACCATTAATAAGAATATTTGGGTTAGATTACAGAAACTAATAAAGTATTCTCGATAGATCCCGTGTGGCAGTGGTGCAGAGCAGTTCGGTTCCTAGAGGCGTGGGAAGTAGTGCGTTCTGGCAGGCTGCAGTGGAGCCTCCATAAAGAAGAACCAAGAGGTTGGCATCTTCGATTGAAGCACTTCGAACCAAGCGGCGGCTGCAGCTGAGAGTCATGAGCGACAGCGGCGAGCAGAACTACGGCGAGCGGGAATCCCGTTCTGCTTCCAGAAGTGGAAATGCTCATGGATCTGGGAAATCTGCAAGGTGTACCCCTGCAAGGGCTCGCTCCAACGAAGATTCTAGGCGTTCCAGATCAAAGTCCAGGTCCAGATCTGAATCTAGGTCTAGATCCAGAAGAAGTTCTCGAAGGCATTATACAAGGTCACAATCTCTGTCTCGCTCTCAGACGATCCCGTAGCAGGTCTTACAGTCGAGATTATCGCAGACGTCATAGCCACAGTCATTCTCCCATGTCTACTCGCAGGCGTCATGTCGGGAACCGGGCAAATCCTGATCCCAACTGTTGTCTTGGAGTATTTGGATTGAGCTTGTACACTACAGAAAGAGATCTAAGAGAAGTATTCTCTAAATATGGCCCCATTGCTGATGTGTCTATTGTATACGACCAGCAGTCTAGACCTTCAAGAGGATTTGCCTTTGTATATTTTGAAAATGTAGATGATGACAAGGAAGCAAAAGATCGAGCCAATGGAATGGAGCTTGATGGACATAGAATCAGAGTTGATTTCTCTATAACAAAAAGACCACATACCCCAACACCAGGAATTTACATGGGGAGACCTACCTATGGCAGCTCACGGTGTCGTGATTACTATGACAGAGGATACAATCGAGGCTATGATGATAAGAACTACTATAGCAGATCATACAGAGGAGGAGGGGGTGGAGGAGGAGGATGGAGAGCTGCTCAAGACAGGGATCAGATTCATAGAAGGCAGTCACCTTCTCCTTACTATAGTCGTGGAGGATATAGATCGCGTTCCAGATCTCGATCATACTGGCCTTGTCGCTATTAAAGCATGAAGTGGAAGACTTCCTGAAACCTCCCCTAGAGTTTGGATATTGTTTGTGGACAATATTTTTTATTGTCTCCTGTTTAAAAAGTGAACAGTGCCTAGTGAAGTTAGGTGACTTTTACACCTTTTATGATGACTACTTTTGGTGGAGTTGAAATGCTGTTCTCATTCTGCATTTGTGCATTCCGGTGCTTTGTTCAAAGTTAAGTGTTTTCAGAAAAATATGTTTTGCATGTATTTTTTTACAGTCTAAATTTTGACTGCTGAGAAGTTTCTATTGTACAAAACTTCATTTAAAAGGTTTTTCTACTGAATCCAGGGTATTCTAAAGATCGAAGCCTGTGTGTAAAATGCTACCAAATGGCAAAAAGCAACAATAAAGTTTGATTTTTACTTTTCTTTCTAACAAAATAAATAAATAAATAAATAAATAAATAAAGTATTCTCTAAATGATGAAAAAAAAGAATATTTGAACAAGACAGGAGCCTTATGGCACATGACTCAATGTTGAAGAGTGGATTCATGATGTTATTCAAAGCTCATTGGATACATCAACTAGGAAGAATTAGTTACAAATTCATTTACCTATACTGTAATCTAACTGATCATTTTTTATTCATACATGAAGATTTTAAGGCTTTCTTAAATACATTCTAAGTTTATTACATTCCCTTGATTTACTAGTATTTGGTACATATTGGTAGTTTTATTACTAATAAAGGCAGCCTGTAAGAAGATGACAAACCAAGATGTCTGTGATTTGAAATGCAAAATAATTTTACAAACAGTTCTCCATAAAGAGAACCAAGAAATTTATAGTCCGCAAAGTTTGAGAGATTATCTTAGGAGGGAGCTCAGATCTGAGTGAGTACTTGTCATTGGCAAGAGACAGAAATGGTCACCCTTCAAAAGAAAAAAGTGTATACATAAACTGTTACCTCAACAAATGAGAGGAAAGTTCAACCACCCATTTCTTAATTCTCTGTAGCAGAGATGAAAACTTCTGTAAAGATGGAAGAGGAATTATATTGACCAATAGACAAGTCAGTAGTTTTACTTGTTTATCTGATGACAGTATGGGGACAGAAAAGTGTTCCATTTCTAGTTATATAGCAAACTCGACACCTAAACCCTCCTCTCTGACCAAACACAGAAATGCTGGATAAGATGTAAGGAAAAATCTATTAATTTCCTACCTGCTGCCTTGTGTAAGTCCAAGGTTTCATCACTTTCCTTATAGAGGTTAAAGTTGAAACCCATGGATTAATGGGGTTGGCAAATTGTGCCATGACAGCTAGAATATCAGCTCATAATTTATCTTCCTAGTTTTCAGTTCTCTTTATTTTTGGGCCCTCAGGATTTCCCCTTACTTTCTTATAAGCTCTGCTATGCATTTAAATGCCCTTCCCCTCAAGCCCACCATAAAGGTGCGACACATGGAGGATGACCCCTCTGTGAAAGGGAGTCAAGAAAACATTGTGCCACTCACATAGGAAGATGATGAAGAAAAGTGTCTGTCTTGGCCTGGGAATCTTCTCAGTAATTCACACTACTTTTCAGGTCTGAAAACACTGAAGCCAAGAAATTAAAATAATACTGATCCTTTGTCAGTAATAGCCATGGGAATATGACACAAGGAGACATAAAACTTATCTGGAAGGAATTAATCTTAACAAAGCTCACTCAAGATTCATACAGAGAAAGCCCTGCTGAAAAAAACCTCACCTTTCAAAATTACAAAATACTTGGGTAAACAATCTACCAAATATAAGAATCAGCACATACAAACAACAGGAACTTGATTTAATTGAGCTATTAAAAAGACGATAAAATAGAGATGTTTAAATTGATTAGTAACATAAAAGGAACTGAAAATTTAAAAAAAGGCTAGACATCATGAAACCATATGCAGATCTGAAGAATGACACATAGCTAAAAATTAAAAGCAATTTTTGAAAGAAGAAACCCAACGAATAATTTTAAAAGGAGATTATACAAAGAGCTGACAAAATAGTTCACGGACTAGAAGACAGATATGAAGGCATCATAGAAGGATAAAGTAATGTAAAACAGAGGATAACATATCTAACATGAAGAATACACTTGAAGGAATAAAAAGTATGTTGGATTAAGCAAAGGATCAAATCAGTAATTTAGAAGACAAGATAAAAAAACAACAACACCCAAATAGAGCAGCTAAAGAAAAAAGACTTAACCTTGGGGCAACATAAAACATAACAACATCTGCTTCATAAGGGTAGCAGAGGGAGAAGAGAGTGAGAAAGGACTAGAGAAACTGAAGAAATAATGGCAGAAAACTTCCCTAACCTGATGAAGAAAAAAGTCACACAAGTTCAGGAAGCACAGAAGGTTCTGATCAAGATGAAACCAAAGAGACCCACACCAAGACACGTCAAAATTAATAGGGCAAAGGTAAAAGCCAAAGAAAGACTCTTAAAGGCAGCAAGAGAGAGATGGCTACTGAAAGGGGAATTCCTATATGGCTATCAGCTAATTTCACGACAGAAACACTCAGGCCAGGAGGAATTAACATAGAGTATTCCAAGTAATAAGAAGCAAGAACCTGCAACTAAGACTACTCTATCTAGCAAGACTATCATTTAAAGTTGAAGGTAAAATAACTTCCCTGACAAAAAAACAAAAAACAAAAAACAAACAAAAAACTAATGGAGTTTATTACCACCAAACCAGTATTGCAAGAAATGTTAAAGAAACTACTTCAAGAAGAAGAAACAGAGAGGGATGGACATAAAGAAAAAAATAGCAAAAAGTAAGTACCAATCAATTAAAACCTTAAATGTAAATGGAGTAAATGGTTCAATCAAAAGAGATAGGGCAACTGGATGGGTAAGAAAACATGACCCACATGTACGCTGTCTACAAGAGACCCACTGCAGAACAAAAGATTCACACAGGCTGAAAGTGAAAAGATGGAAAAAATATTCCATGCAAATCAAATGGAAACGAGAAAAAAAAAAGCTGGTTGAGCAAAATTTACATCTGACAAAATAAATTTCAAAACAAAGGTCATAATACAACACAAAGAAGGTCACTACATAATAATAAAGGTATCAATCCAACAAGAGGCTATAACCCCTGTAAAAATGTATGCGCCCAGTATAGGAGCACCAAAATATTAAAAGAAAACCTTGGTGGACTTTAAGGGAGAGATAAACAGATATACAATCATAGCAGGGAATCAAAAAAGAAATAAAAAATTACCTGGAAACAAATGAAAATGAACACACAACAATCCAAAATCTGTGGGACAAAGCAAAAGCAGTACAGAGAGGGAAGTTTATAGCATTACAGGGCAACTCAAAAAGCAAGAAAAATCTGAAATCTCAAATAAACAATCTAACTCTACACCTAAAAGAACTAGAAAAAGAACAACAAAGTCCAGAGTAAGTAGAAGAAAGGAAATAATAAAGATTAGAGCAAAATAAATGACATAGAGCTTAAAAAACAATGCAAGAGATCAATGAAACCAAGAAATGATTCTTTGAAAAGGTAAAAAAGATTGTTGAAAATTTAACCAGGCTCATGAAGAAAAAAAGAAACAGGGCCCAAATAAATAAAATCAGAAATCAAAGAGAAGAACTATCAACTGACATCACAGAAACACAAAGGATTGTAAAAAAAAAAATACAAAAACAACAATATGCCAACAAATCGGACAACTTTGGCAGAATGGACAAATTCTTAGAAACATACCATTTTCCAAAACCAAATCAGGGAGAATCAGAAAAACTAAACAGACCAATAACAACTAATGAAATTTAAACAGTAATCAAAAATCTCCCAGGAAACAAAAGTCCTGGACCAGATGGCTTCACAAGCAAATTTTATCAAACAGACAAAGAAGAACTAACGCCTATCCTCCTCAGATTATTCCAAAAAATCCAAGAGGAAGAAAGACTCCCATGCTCTTTTTACAAGGCCAGTATTGTCCTAATTCCAAAACCAGAGAAATACACAACAAAGAAAATTACAGGTGAATATCCCTGATGAACATAGATGCTAAAATCCTCAACAAAATATTAGCAAATCAGACCCAGCAATATATTAAAAAGATCATACACCATGATCAAGAGGGATTTATTCTGGGGATGCAAGTTTGGTACAACATTTGCAAATCAATAAATGTGATACATTACATAAACAAAATGAAAGATTAAAATGATACGATCCTATCAATAGATGCAGAAAAAGGTTTTGGTAAAATCCAACACCCATTTATGATAAAAACTCTCTGCAACGTGAGAATAGAGGAATTATACCTCAACATAACAAAGGTCCTATATGAAAAACCTATAGCCAACATCATACTCAATGGGCAGAAAAATACAAGTGTTTCTCTTAAGATCGGGAACAAGAAAAAAATGTCTGTTTTCACCACTCTTATTCAACATAGTACTGAAAGTCCTAGCCACAGCAATCAGACAAGAAGAAATAAAAGGCAACCAAACTGAAATGATGGGAGTAAAACTGTCATTATTCACAGATGACATGATAGTGTTCATAGAAAAGCCTAAAGACTCCACCAAAAAACTACAAGATCTACTAAATAAATTTGGAAACACAAGATACAAAATTAATATTCAGAAATCAGTGGCATTTTTATACACCAATAATGAACTATCAAAAAGAGAAACTAAGAAAACAATCCCACTTACTATTATAAGAACAACAGAAAATAAGATACCTAGAAATAAATTTATCCAAAAAGGTAAAAGACCTCTACTTGGAAAACTACAGGACATTGTAAAAAGAAATTGAGGACTATACAAATAAGTGGGAAGATATAACATATTCATGGAATGGATGAATTAATATCATCAAAATGTCCATACTTACTAAAGCAATCTATAGATTCAATGGAATGTCTATTAAAATACCAATGGTATATTTCACAGCTCTAAAAAAATTCCAAAAATTTATATAGAAGTATAAAAAGACCCAAAATAGCCTCAGCAAACTTGAGAAAGAAGAGCGAAGTTGGAGGTATCATCATACTTGATATCAAACAATACTATGAGGCCACTGTAATCAAAACAACCTGGTACTGGAATATGAACAGGCATATGGAACAGAACACAGAACCCAAAAATCAACCCATGTCTTTATGGTCAATTAATCTTTGACAAAGGAGACAAGAGCATATAATGGAGTGAAGAAAACCTCTTCAATAAACGGTGTTGGGA